GAGGAATGGGCCAAAAAACCAGCAACAGTGTGTGAAAACCTTGTGAAGACTTACAGAAAACGTTTGACCTGTGTCATTGCCAACAAAGGGTATATAACAAAGTATTGAGAAACTTTTGTTATTGACCAAATACTTATTTTCCACCATCATTTGCAAATAAATTCATTAAAAATCCTACAATGTGATTTTCTGGATTTTCTTTTCTAATTTTGTCTGTCATAGTTGACGTGTACCTATGATGAAAATTACAGGCCTCTCTCATTTTTTTAAGTGGGAGAACTTGCACAATTGGTGGCTGACTAAATACTTTTTTCCCCCACTGTATATACAAACAGAAAGCTACAATAACAGTTACAGTAGCTAGCTAGCTAGCTAACGTTAGCTAAATAAAACTGCATGGCTAGCTAGCTAGCTAGCAACGTCAATCTAAAAACAGCATAAACTATTTCTTCCTATTTAACTATATTTTCTTATATAAAGACACATGCATGGTAAAGAAAGAGTGTTCTCTTTCCAGTCTTTTTGGTCCTCTGAAGCAGCAGGTAGTCAGCATCAAAAACCCCGTCTTGGAGAGCAATTCTGAAGTAATAATTTTGCGCGGACTGAGCGAGCGCTTATGAGGTGAAATAGAACTAGAAATGCCCGTGTCCTCCTTCCTTCGCTACAAGGTAAAATAGAGCCAAGCAACCAGCATAGCAACGGACGCTTCGGTTCATTACGTAAACCGGTCAGAATTTTGCAAGTTCTAGCAACAGCTAAAGCAACGGAAGCTAGAAATCATCTAATCCCATTGTGGCGCGGGGGGGACACACTTTTTGGCATGGGGACACTGTTTGGCATGACATGCTCCCATTGATTTAGTTTCTCACTTAGATATCATATTAACATGGCATAAGTCATAGCAAAATGTGTAGAATTGCAGGAAATTAGCTTTAAAACTGCAAAGATTTCTCTCCATCCCAGGGCAAAAATGTGTATAATTGCAGGAAATTAGCTGTAACATTTTTAAACTTCAATTTTTCTCTCGACCATCAAGAGAGGGGCCACTAAAACGTTTTGCCCGCGAGGTGGGAGCGGAGGGGGGGCAACCAAATCTCGCTTAGGACCCCCAGAAGGGGCCATGTTTTCATGAGCTTTGGTCCATGGAAAACACAGAATTTTCTCATTTGGGTCCCAGGCTGAAAAAGGTTTTTAAGAAAACTGACCTAATCCAATAACAGGCTGGAACAAAACATAATTAGAATCCTCTGTGAGCCTAATCTAACATAATCTAATAGAGATATGTAGAACATGGACCGGGATGGGCCAGTTACAGTTACCAGGGATGTGTCACAAATGGCACCCTATTCCCTATATAGTGCACTACTTTAGACCAGATAATGGCACCCTATTCCCTATATAGTGCACTACTTTAGACCAGAGAATGGCACCCTATTCCCTATATAGTGCACTGCTTTTGACCAGAGAATGGCACCCTATTCCCTATATAGTGCACTACTTTAGACCAGAGAATGGCACCCTATTCCCTATATAGTGCACTACTTTAGACCAGAGAATGGCACCCTATTCCCTATATAGTGCACTGCTTTTGACCAGAGAATGGCACCCTATTCCCTATATAGTGCACTACTTTTGACCAGAGAATGGCACCCTATTCCCTATATAGTGCACTACTTTAGACCAGAGAATGGCACCCTATTCCCTATATAGTGCACTCTTTAGACCAAGATGCACCATCCTATAGTGCCTACTTTGGAGCAGAATGCAAACCTAGTCCGCATATGTGCACTCTTTCAGATGGACCATCCCAATAGTCATACTAGAAAAAATGGCAGCCCTATTCCATATATGCATGCTTGACCAGAGCATGTGCCATTTGGATGCACCAAACGCCGCATTGTTTGAACCATGCATAAAAAGAATGCCTGTTCCATCCAAATATTTGTTTCCCCCTGCTATACCCAAAATGGACCCATTTTCCCTGTCCCAAATGGGACCGTGTTCCTTATTCAGTGGACTTCTTTTGACTTCTTTTGAGTGGACTTCTTCCTCTAAAATCTAGACAGAAGTCTGTAGTATCAAAGACATTGCCTAAATAGCGCAATACTTTTTGTTCAGGGCAAATAGGGATCCATTTGGGACGAACCCGTTCAGAGGTTTAGAACAATAGATTCCTTAACCAGGCTGTTTCCTTCATTTACTGTTGAAGATACGCTGATTATACCAAACATTGGGAACACCTTCCTAATATTGAGTTCCTGCCCTCAGAATAGCCTCAGTTGGTTAGGGGCATGGACTCTTACAAAGCTGTTGAAAGCCTCCAATGCGCCCTGATCCTGACATTG